CGAATTCACTATTCATTCGGTCTGAAGTCATTTTTCGATAAGTTATGCTTGCTGCCATGGCAACCGTGTGCAATTTACTGTTGTGAATTTACAAATGCAACGAATATGCAAATGCAAGAGCATATGCACAAGATCCTGAACCGCCCTGGTAACTTCTGTCAACTTCAACATAACCTCCACATTTTGGTTGTAAGTTTTTGCTTATGTTGTATGTAAACACACTCAGCTCACACATGTAAATAACCAAAAATACTTTAAAATTCATAAGAATCCACTTTAACAAGTAATTAAATACTTTTCAACATGATTTAGCAGAGTGCACTTTTCTTTTGTTTACAATTTGGTTGCCAAACACACTACAGCCGATCGTTTGACACATTTACCATAATTTACCAGCAAAAAATCTTCAGACTAAAACTGGTAAATTCTGACAGAGAGAGCACCTTATTTACTCTCTTTTTTGGCCTCTCAATAGTCAGAGAACCGAGTACGGGATCGATTTCCTGTAAAATCTGACTGATTCTGATGTCAATGCTACTCTCTCGCTCTGAGCGAATTTTTATTTTTTGACAGTTTTACTAGTCCGAATCCGAGGAATACGGGATTGCTCCTTATATTTCTTTTTGTTTTAATAACTAATATTTTTTGTCTTTCGTTCATGGATTACTTACTACGGTTTTTAGTGATGGCCGAGTCCGAGATGTTTAAACGATCGAGGGAATCGCCATCGTTTCAAAATTTAAAAAAAAATCGACTCGCTGCCCGACTGATCACCGACGAGATCATGTCAACTCAAGCGATAGCTTTCGTAGGCTTGTGCAGGTGTGTATTAAGTAATTTTTTTGTTTAAATTGATAGTACTGCAAGTGCAGACATTCGAGCGTTATTTTAAATATACATACATATTTACATATCGCATACAAATTTAAATGTTAAAAATATTGTTCGGAAAATCAAATTTATACTGATTGAGAGATTGTTGGGTATACGGCCTAAGCAAATTTACTAAAAATAACGTTTTTGTGTTTAACTACTATTCGTAAATAAAAAAAAAAAACATTCCCAGAAGCCTGTACTCCCAACACTTACTATCACTGATCTTATTTTTTTGTTTACCAACCAAAAAGGATATGTTTTTTCGTAGTTATTATACATATGTATGTATTATTTGCAATGATTCCATTTTAGTCGTTGGTTCATGAGCTGAATCTATTGACCGCGTTACCGATGTATGTACATACATATGTACATTAGGGTGGTCCTTAAAAAATCAAATGAGGGATTTTTTAGGTCTCACCCCCTCAATCGATAAAACCACTGTCACAGATATCACATATAAATTTTGGTTCCGATTGGAGACGGTTAAGGCGTGTAGCACAGGCGGCAAAGTACAGACTCCTCTATAGAGACTCAATATGTATCCAGAATCCGGCTTACAAGAAATGTTAAGCATTTTTAATTTTAAAATTTACCGGTTACAAAATAATTCTGCACATTTTAAAAACAATTTCTTACACAATTTGTGACGATGCTTCCTAGTTCTCGCCTCATCTTCTAAGTCGGTGCTGCTGCGACTTTGTAGCACACCACTTTGATCAGGCTCAACCGCTTTTTCCCCTAGCACCAGTGTAAAGTAAACAATAAGGATAATAACAAGCAACCACAATGTAATCCTATTCATTTTATAATATTTTTTTTTTCACTAGATATTTTACACTTCCGGTCTCCTATTATTTACAGTTTGCACGATTGATTTTATATAAAAATGTCTTTAAGCTGTTAATGGTAATGTTTAAACTGCACTGATATCCGTTGAGAAAATACAGTTTGTTTTTATATCCGACTGTCCTCGAATGAAAATGTTTACATCAGAGGTGATAATATGGCATCTAATTGTTAAGCAAATAAAATCTGCGGCTCACTTGGCACATATCGCCCACCGTCTTCAAAAGCGGCACAACTCAAAATTACACGTTTGTCAGAAAATGCGAACAATTATTTCTTAGCACATGATAATGACATGGACAAGAGAGGCTTAGGTTTTTTTTTCTCTCTGTGTACATTTTTTGCGCATAATTTTAAAAATTCTATATTTTGAGTTGTGCCTCTTTTAAAGACAGTGTGCGATATGTAAATACAAATGTTCATAGGAGATCGAAACACCGAAGATGATTGTAAGTTGAGATTGGTATAGAGCAGTGATTCCCAAAGTGGTCCACGGGAGACTTGACGGGGGTCTACATTGGCGTGAAAAAAAGTTGGGGGTTGACAAGTTGTAAGTGAGGTCCACGAAAATTGGTTTGGTTTCGATTGTAAATAGTGTTCCCAGAAGTTTTTGGGCCGACCGGCTAAATCGGCAAAAAGATTGGCTAAAAGCGGGTAAAATGTTTCAAGAAAAATTCACATGTTTTATTTAAAGAAATCCCAAATAGAAGGACTAATAATTCATTAAATTGTTTTTGGTTAACAAAGGTTATACGTAGCTAAGCTGTACACCACACGATAAATAAATAAGGGCGTTGTTACCAGCGTTGCCACAGACACATTTTTTTTCCTACCAAAATTTCCTACCATAACCAACCAAAACCTACCAAAAGTTTTTTTGAGTTTTAATATATATATTTTTTTTCAATGTCAAATTTTTGCAGCCGCCGTTATACGAACGCACCGGTGAAATATTCATGTAAAAAAAATTGCTAAATTGTTTGGAGATACATATTTTCTATTTTTCTCAAATAACTATTATTTACTCGTAGTCCTGAAACCTACCGAAATCCAATCAAGCCTACCAACCTACCAAATGGAAAAAACCACCAGTTTTGGTAGGAAAAGCGCATGTTTGGCAACACTGGTTGTTACGCAGACGATCATATGATCTCTGGTCAGCGTTGCCACTAACAATTTTTTTCCCTTACCAATTTTCTTCCCAAATCCAACCAAAATCGTTTACAATCTACCAAATAAATTTCTTTTGCAAAAAAGCATTCTGAAAGCATACAATTCATCTATTTAAGATTAAATGTTTCCAATAAAAAACATTTACATACATACATACATATATGTACTTTTTACATTTTAAAACAAACAAGAAATAAATAAATGCAGGTACAGTCTTAGGCACAGAGATGAGATCATTTAACATTTTTTGGTTCTATGAATTATATCGAGCCCTAACGGCCAAAATAACGTAAGCGACATTTTTTTTCAAAATTTTATTTTTGATGCAGAAATATTCCTAGAGCGTCTAGATGCATTTTTGCATCAAAAAGAAAAATTTTAAAAAAAATGTCGCTTACGTTATTTTGGCGGTTAGGGCTCGATATGTATTATGCCCATGTGATGGACCAATAAGTTTACTTTCTTAAAAGTAAATTTAAATCAATGTGTAATTAACACATGCAAATCTTTAGCAGTTGACCACACATAGTGCGGGCATTTTTGTTTACAAGTTCCTTGCACAACATTATGCTATTGATACTGTCAATCTTAAGTTTATTTCTTAGTTTAGTTTTTATCAAAGAAAGCGTCGAAAATTTGCGTTCTGCAGCCGCAGAGCTATGTGGTAACGAAGTTGTATTAAAACCAAATTGGCGAGATGCATGGAGCTATTTTCATTCATTCCATTTTTACTAGAATAAACTTTTTCCCAAAACATATCAATATCCAGATCGCTGGAAATATCAAGCTCACTTAGCCTCAGTAAATTCCCCTGCGTGGTTATTATATCAGGATCGCAATCTATGAGATAAGGAAACTTTAACAAAAGAGGTAAAATTGGTAAATTTTCTTTAGAAACTACTTTAAATTTATTTGGTCCAAAAATTCTATGTAAAACTTTAATATATTGGTTTTAACTTCAAGAATTTCAGAACAATTGACATTACTTTTCATAAACATCTCAGCTTTCGCTTTGTACAAGTTGGTACCAATTGTTACCAAATCGTGTTCGTTTAGCCAAAAACCCAGTAAAACTTGCAAGGAGAGAGCACAATTTTGACATTTCATTTGGAGGGGAGGTGCAAATTCGTGCTGGGAAAATTTTTTCCAGTAAGAATTTGCAAGCAGGATTGTGGCACACAGTTGCATTTTTGTCAACATTTGAATTTTGTTGAATCTGTTGACATCAGCGACTCCGTTACCCCACAAAGCCTTAGTTTTACTTTTGTAAATCTAACGTTTGATCCGTATTCAGTGACTTCAACTGTTTCAAGCGAATCTCGTCGATTTTAAATTTTTGGTCGCCATATTCGATCCGCCATTTTGAATATTAATAATTTTATTTTTATATACAAAAATGTTCTTCATTTTTAATTTTACAAAAGAAAACAAGCATGAGTGAGCACTATTTTGTTAGTTTTTAGGAACATTTCTCTTACTACGTTTATACGCAGGTATTATTTGCAAATAACAATTTGCAAAGTGGTAAACTTTGCTGTATAAACGCTGAGATAATTTTTTATTCGCAAATAACTAAATCACGCAAATAAGTATTGATTAGTGGTACTATTTGCAAATAAGCCCAAGACGCCGCCATTCGTAGGTTTATTTTCCTTTTCGATGGCCATCTTATTGCCTTTTAATAATCAAGATGTTGCCATTTTTAACTTTATTTTCTTTTTCGATGGTCATATTATTGCCTTTTTATAATCAGGCAATATTAAAAAATATTTTTTCACCACCGAAGAAACAGTGAGTTAGGTATTTGCAAATAGCTTACGTATAAACGTAGTATATGTTTGTTTTCACCACCCAAATAATCTCAAGTTACAAAAACAATCACTAATTGCTAGTCTCAAATTTAGTGACTTGAGATGAGACTGAATCACTGAGTCCCAGGGTTAACTAAACTTAGTTTAAACTGAGTTTAAACCAGCACTGAAAAGTGCACTCTTTGAACAGACCTATTGATAATTTGGTATAATTATCTATAAAGAAACAAGGCTATCATTGCACCGATATACATCGATTTTCTCTATATATCGAGTAGTAAACATCGATCACAGTATACACATCGATGTTTATCGTTCATGCTTCTAAAAGCGTTTGCGAATTGTTTATTATAAAAATTCCAAAAAAAACATGAGCAAAGGTAATTATTTCCCGAGAATATAAGAGAAAATATGGTTTTAATTGTATTTCAAGCGATTACAGAACCTATCGATGTACCCAAATCGTCGGATCCACAAGCACCGGTGACAAGGAAGGGTTTCTTGATATCCATCAAAAGTGGAGAACCGATTGAGATAAGAGATTCAGATATGGTTTGTAAAATAATTTACATATATGTAGATTTATGATAATCATGAAACATATATCGTTGTTAGCATGGGCGCTGCCGCGCAGTTACGGACTTCGAAAAATTGAACCGCATAGGCGAAGGCACCTATGGCATAGTTTGTAAGTTTACCGATTGTTTCCTACTACCCCAACCACTTTCAGTTCCTACTCTCTAGAACGTGTTTGCTATAGTATGGGGCGGAAAACCTTCTTAGGTGTATTAAAACTTTCTTTTATTAATTTATACTTTGGTGAAGTAATCAATCCTATTACGGTATCCGACGACTGCCATCCGCACGGATCTAATCCGATTCGCACTGTCATAACCAGTAATTGAGAAGGATTAGATGTGTGTGAATGGCATCCCTCGGATATGTGCTAATTGTGGTCCGATAGATTATATTCACATTCATCTAATTGTTCACGCTCGCTTGTAATGACAGAGCGAATAGTATTCGAATATCGTAATAGGCATGATTATTTCATCATGATTGATATCCTGCATAATAGCCCAAAAATGGAGAAAATTCTTACAATCTCATCACAATGCCATAAAATAGTATAGCTTAACTCAATTAGCTCCAAAAAAGGGGAGATTACGATAACCGGGGCGACAAATTTTGACATTGCCACTGGAAAGTTGGGCTTCTCCGTTTTTCAAATATACCCACTTTTAGGGGTCGGGGCCTTCTAGTTTTCAAGATATTTAGTGTTGAAAGTTATTTTTTAGATTTTTTTAATTATTAATATCTTATGAATTACATAACCGGTTAAAAAAAGTAATGTGTCAAACAATTAATTTATCTTTCAGTTCATGTATCTAATTTATATTATTTTTCATATCTTAAAGCCCAAAATATTAAAAAACTAAAAAAATTTAAACTTCTTTTCATAAAATGACCTTTTTTTGAAATAAATTACGTGTTTAATGCTAAAGAAATGTACATTACTTAGAAAGTATAAGTTATTACCTTTAATTTGGTATTAATATTTTATTATGATCTGCTTTTGAGGCTTAAGAATTCAGTGATAATAAAAAATTTAAATTCATTTACAAGCAAGTAACAATCTTACATCTACTGTAGTTTATTCACATAAGGTGTCGTCTTATCCGGCAAAGCAGAAAGGAGAATTCTAGTTAGTGAGGGTTATAAACCCTACGCAGAAAGGTGTTCTCTGCAAAAATGTTCAGTCCCCTTTCTTTCGCAACACAGAAAAGAGAATTCTACTTAGTGCGGGTTATAATCACTAAGTGCGGCTGAAAGCCGCCTACGCAGAGAGGTGTTCTCTGCAAAAGGTGTTCTGCCCCTTTTCTTTCGCAGCACAGACAGGAGAATTCTACTTAGTGAGGGTTATGATCCCTAAGTGCGGCCGAAGGCCGCCTACGTTTTTTTTAAATACTCTGTATAGTACGGCTGAAGACATGATGTTGTATATCAAATGAAAGCTTGTTTTATATCCTATTGGATTATGAAATGTTTGAATATGTTTAATAAGGCAATTTTAAAATAGTCATGTGATCGTTCAAAATTTGTTGCAACTTTTTAGTTAAATTGAATTTTAGCTAAAACTTTATAAGCTGTATATAACATTTGTAAATCGTATTAAAGGCATTCATAATTCCTATTGAATGACATCAAAAATTTTGAAATCAATGCTTTTGTTTTCAAGATATTTGGATATAAAAAAAATTATGAATTTAATCTATGACCCTTGGTAACCTCTGTAGTTTTTGTTTCCCATCAAACGAAAATATATTGTTATATTTGCTTCAAAAACCCCTATCGACGTCCTTGTTCGAAATTTGTCGACCCGGTTATCGTAATCGTGCCCCAAAAAGTTTTTCACTTTTGTTTAGTGTAAAATGGAGCTTTCTTCAATACATACATAGTCTATGTTTAGAAATGCATCAAGCCAAAGCTTCAGTCAATTCTTTTTATAGACTATAATTGCTGGAAAGGCCTTGGAAAGGATTTGCCCATCTAAGCTCCAATTCGGCATTTAACCATGGTTGCGCATATTGGACATTCCCATCAACTATATGTAGTTTATAAAGAAAAGAGACGCATACTTTAGCTGGATGCATTTCGAAACACAGTCGTACGTGTATTCTTACAGCTGTTGGATTTTTCTTTCGAAAGAATATAAAAAATATAGTTAACGTGCAGCAGAAAATTTCAAGACTATGAACTAAAAGTGGGAATGGTAATACGGATGGCTCATTTAGTAAAAGGTGTAGCGAGCGATTTGTCTCAATATACATACATATGTATGCATCTTGTAAAGTTAACCTATCTTTAGATCGTGCTAAGGATACACGAACGAATGAAGTTGTCGCCTTAAAAAAGGTTCGAATGGACCAAGAAAAAGATGGCTTACCAGTTAGCGGCTTGCGAGAAATAATGATTCTAAAGGCATGTAAGCACGAAAACATAGTGAACCTCAGGGATGTTGTAGTAGGCAAAAGCTTAGAAAGGTAAATATGAAATATTTGCATAGCTGTTCGGGGCTATCACAGAATCCATCTTAGTCCAATTTTCTTGAAATCTACGAAAAAACGATTTCTGAATAAGAATTGCTGAGAACGCCTGCATTCATAGTATATGATACGTTCCAACTAGGATGGATTCAGTGATAGAACTAATTATATACGCAAGTACAGGGCGGGCCAAATAAGACCTACCATCCATAGTTCATAGCGTCACTAGACACGAATAAAGGCGCGAGTTCAAAAACTAAACGCAAAAAAAACGCCTAAAAAAACTTCAACGAAGAAAGACTCGTAACATAGTTACGGCGAAGAAAGAACTTATTTTCGTCGTCGACTATATTTACAGGTGTAACAGAGGTGTAAAAGAATTTTTAGGCAATGAGATGAGGTGACAGTCCTTGGCTAGGTATCAATCTAGGTTTGCGCGTCTTTCTTCGCCATCCACTACTTTTCGCGTCTTTCTTCGCGGAAGTTTTCCTTAAGCGTCTTTTTTCGTAAGATTTGTTTACGCTTTTTTTCGCCGACAGAACACTGGCGCGCTTTTATTCGCGTGTAGTGACAATAGGTCCATAGTTCGCCTAGCAGTGCACGCAGTCGCTCCATCTTGTTGGAACCACAAATTGGTATGCTGCTCTGCGGTTGGCCGCAAAAAGTTATCAATCATTGTTCTGTAAGAAGCCCCAGAAATGGTTTCACCGCACCAAACAGTGCATCTGGATGGGGTTGTTGTTGTTGTAGCAGCATACAAATTCCCCAAAGAGTTTTTGGGGAGTGTTGCTGGAGTGACAGTCCTTGGCCAAATATAAATCTGGGTCGTTCCGGTTACGTAGACCCGACTGTCGTGGGAACGCTGGATGGGTGCAACTGGTGCTGGTGTGTTGCCCTTGGAATTTCTGAGCCCCACAATCTACAGATTTGCTTGGAAATGCGCTTCATCCGACATCAAAACATTACCTAAAAAATCAATTTGTGTGACTAATTGTGTAAAACGAATAGCGTGTTGTAGTCATTTTTGGTGGTCTTGCTGTAAGTATCCATTATGATTTTCCAAGAGATTAACTATAACATGCAGAAAGAAAATAACAATAATATTAAAAAATAAATGAGTTATACGTGTTTAGCATTGGTAGGTCTTATTTGGCCCACCCTGTATGTATGTATATATGTACATATATTAATTGAGGCCTCTATAGTATCTTCCTTGTAATGGAATATTGTGAGCAAGATTTAGCATCATTACTAGACAATATGGCCCAACCTTTCTCTGAATCTGAGGTAAAATGCATTATTCTACAAGTTTTGCACGCATTGGAATATATGCATTCACGTTACATAATCCATCGCGATTTGAAGGTGTCCAACTTACTAATGACTGACAAAGGTTGCGTGAAAATAGGTATATGAATTGTGGGCAATATAAGATTGTAAACTAATATTTACGTAAAACTTGAAACAGCTGACTTCGGTCTTGCTCGGCTTTTTGGTGAACCAGCTACTACTATGACTCCTCAGGTCGTAACATTGTGGTATCGTTCACCCGAGTTGCTATTGGGATCGCCAACCCAAACAACGGCAGTGGATATGTGGGCAGTCGGATGTATTTTAGGGGAACTGCTCTCCCATAAACCTCTTTTACCTGGCAACACAGAGCTTGCCCAATTGGATTTAATTATTGATTTGCTTGGCACACCTTCGGAGAATATTTGGCCTGAATTTTCTAAAATGCCTGCTTTGGAGAACTTTACATTGAAGCAACAACCTTACAACAATTTAAAGCCAAAATTTCAATACTTGACTGCGGCCGGACTACGGTTGCTGAATTTCCTTTTCATGTATGATCCAAAGAAGCGAGCCACGGCGGAAGAATGCTTGCAAAGCAGCTATTTCAAGGAGCCGCCCTTGCGTAAGTTCAACATTATTAGTTAATTAATGACTTTTATGAAGATTAAAATAATTGCAGCATGTGACCCAAAATTAATGCCCACATTTCCTCAACATCGTAATCTCACGAATTCCAAACACACTTCTCTTCATCAAGCTGCTCCCGAATTGCCATCAATATCGGCTATACTTGGTAGTATATTAAAGAAACGCCGCGTTGAATAATTAATATTTATTAAATTGTAATGGCCATTGAAATAAGAACAGAATATAAGTCCAATGTCTTTGGGAGTATATTTATAAATATGGGCGATCCATTGGTGTATCTTTAGCCCGTTTATCACGCGACCGGAGGAACCACCTATGCTTGGTTGTATGAGTCAGTTGCATGAGCTCTTGTCGCGCCACTTCAGGATTTTTGTTTTTAAATGCATTCATTGCAGTACGCAGCGCCGTTTCCTTGATCAGTCCTCCGTTTTGGGCGTCCACCGCCTTTGGTATAGCTTTAGAAAATTCATATGGAAATGGTTTGTCCGGATGCCATGCGACTACAACAGCGCCATTGTTCGTTATTGCTACTTTTTCCACTAAACTTTGTCCGCCTACAGCATTATTTTGTGCGGTTTGCTGGTACACTCGTGTGGAAAAAAGGCGCACAAAACGCATAGCCATTGATTCTTTTTTTTATATTTAACGTTGTTACCGTCGCCTGTACAAGTCTGGTTTTTGCATGATTTGATTATGCAGTAGAACTGGAAAACTATCGATGACACTATCGATAGTATCGATGGTTTTTGACTATCGAGGACATCGAAGGTTTTGTAAGCACTATCGATAGTTTTCACTCATGTACGAAAGACACAAGATCACGCGCGAACGAAAGAAAGAAAAAAGTAATTTTCTAGCTGTCGAAATCTCGACGCCATTCATGATTCAATCAATTGAATCATGGACGCCATTTGTGTTGTAAGAAGTAAACAACGAAAAGAAGAAGAAAACCGCGTAATTGTTGAACGCATTATCATGAACCAACGACTACAGATCACCTAATCAGCCATCGTTGTATTTGTAATCGATTTTCAGAAAAAAGTTATGATATGCAGTCTCAATGGCTTTGTTTCTTTTCTTTTCTAGCAGATAGTTATCAGGAAGAAGAAGAATGAGAAAATTGAAATAATTACGCTCACAGAGAGCCAAATAATGAAAAAGTAAAGAAACGCAAAACTAGCAAGTAATCAGCTGATCGGTGTATTTGACTATTGAACATATTTGGCGCGAATTTTTGTTTTCCATTTTGACAGCTGCTAATTTCTGCTAGTAAAATTTTTACTAGCTGAAATTAGCAGGAGAGCCAAAAAAAGAAGAGCGTAAGAACGAGAGAGAGATGCTAGTTTCTGCTAGTTTTTTAGGTCATTGTAGCAAGCATACTTTTAACGTGCGTTCTGTCAAACCAACGCCAACGCCAAAGCCAACGTGAAATTTCTATGTGGACCGGCCTTTAATGTGTTTTCACTTCGTTCGAAAATGGCAAATGGCAACGCTGATACATACGTTCTCTGGTGCAACCTTGTCCAACAAAGATTAGGAAACATATCTTGCTGAACTTAATTGCTGAATACTGCTGAATCATACAAAATTCAAAAAGGCTTCAGCGGCTTGTGTCAACGTCGATTTTTCAGAATTTGTGATTGCATTGTTTAGTGACTTCTTAATTATTGTACTAATAGAAAGAAAACAAGTTAATTTTTGATATATAGTTTAAAACGGCATTGCGACTAAAAAAAATAAATTATTTGGTAGACATAGAACGAAGGGCCAAAATTAAAGTCCTAAAAATCAAATGGATCCTTTTACGCAGGTAGGAAAAGGTCGTAGATCTTAGATTAATTGTACTGAGCTAAGGTAGAATTTCGTAGTAGGTAAGTCGGCTTTCATTTGAGTTAGAAACAGCTAAAATCCGGAAAAACCTGGGTGTAGTTGTACTTTAAAGGTCATTTTCAGGCGCATCTATGAATTCCACAAAATTATACATATTTATATGTACTTATATACTTATGCATTGCAGCGAATGTTAGATAAAGCTGAGCAGCGAAGTCGTGCATTGGGCATTAGTAACGCAGGCAAATATCCGCTTGCTGAATTTACCGAAAGTATTAATGCCAGTAACCCGATCGATGCTATAGCAACAGGAAAGGAGCAACAATCTTCGCACCTTCAGCATGCTGGTGCAAGGCAACAGCATGGTACTCAGTCTCCTAAGTCGGCCCCAGCGCAAGCGTCGACAACGGCAGGAATCACCAATAATATAGAAAATTGTACAGGCGTCAGTAATAGGCTGCAAGTCGTCGAAAAACCTACGGTAGATTTAGTGAGTACGTCGACCAATGCCAAAAGAGTTCATCGTCAATTCACAGCAGTTGATAAGGAAAATATGGATTTGGGAATTGAAATTAACATTATGACGGATAAAGACGTGGAAGTAAGTTAAAATGGATCAGATAAATGGTGTGTTAAACGTAAGTAAAATTTATTTGTGGTGAATATCTCTAGGTGCAGGTTCAGGTGGAAGAACAAGAAATAGTTAAGGATGGCCCCGATACCAGTTCAGAGCATTCTTTGGCCAAAATAAGGGATACATCACGTAGTCGATTGCAACGCCTCGGAGCTCTATATGCGAATCCAAACGATCTCTCATCTCCAATACATCGTACTGAGGGTAATTTCTGTGCGGACTCACCTGCTGAAGAAACTGTGGAAAATAGTATTAAACGTGTCAAACAACGATACGGAAAATTAGCCGAACTTGCGAGTTCTATAAATGAATGGGAGGACGACATTTCTCACCACGATCCACATCCGATCAGTATTATGGCACCTCCCAAACCAGATTTGCCTAGTAGAAAAATTTCGGATGTGCCCCCGCCTAAGCCTGCACTGCCANTGCTGAATTTACCGAAAGTATTAATGCCAGTAACCCGATCGATGCTATAGCAACAGGAAAGGAGCAACAATCTTCGCACCTTCAGCATGCTGGTGCAAGGCAACAGCATGGTACTCAGTCTCCTAAGTCGGCCCCAGCGCAAGCG